TGCCGATCATTCTCATGCTTGGGAAACGTAGGCCATTCTCTCCACTTCGGAAGTTGTGCCAAAGTCAGAAGATGTCATGCTCAAAGAGGTCTTCTCCACAGGTCGTGGGCCAAGTTCCATGCCTTTTACGTGCGGGCTTGAGTACAGAACCTAATCAGAAGCACAACGCCTGAGAAGCACGAGATGCGTGATCTGGAGAACTCCAGTCACAGGCCATGGTCAAAACTTGGCCAAGCGCAGTAAAGCCAGCTGCCCAACACTCCTGACCTTGAGATTCGCACCATCTAGCATCTCGATCCGGTCCCAGCACGTGCCCTTTCAAAGATGGCTTGGTTTCTGGCTTCTGCCGCTGCCGCAGATCAATGCATATAGAAAAAGTGGAAAAGTGGAGGTGTTTTTTGCGGCTTCGCTTGTGAATGTATGTGAAGGGTGGCAAAGAAACAGCGTATGTGCAGGGTTCATGTCTACTTCTTTATTCATGTATGAGTATACTGTACATGTTTAATGCCCCGGAGATAAAAACGAGACCGTCACTCGTTTTGAATCGATGCTAGCCCATCTCGGCGCACAGCTTATGAGCCTGGCGGCACGGGAGGCCACGATCGCTCTGCGTGCAGGTGCCGCTGCTGCGTGGTGAATCGAAAGCTCGGAGCACTGCTGGACTACCCGGCTCCAGAGGCGGTGAGGGTGAGCGCGGGGGAGATCTTGCAGTTGGCCTACCTGCAGATCCTTGAGGTCGTCCATCTTGATCGTGTTCGAGCTGAGCGGGGGCTTGGTGGTGGATCAGTCACTCCTGGACCTACGGGAGGGGCTCCTTGTCAACCGGGAGCGGTAGCGCTCCTGGGATTGCGGCAGGCAGGCGCCGCATGAGTGTCAGGAGTAGAGCCCGGAGGCGTCACTGCTCCCATCAGAGCTGAGCGGGAGAGAGGTCGAAGAGGGCGACGTGGACCTAAAGAATCGAAAGAGAAAAGAAAAGAAGAGGAAGTCGTGCAAAAAGGCAGAGAGGATCAAGGAAGAGCCCGAGAGTGAGGAGGTTGAGCACCCTTCGGGAGTGGAGGCCGTTGGAGAAGCCGGTCATCCAGCTCCTCGTATACAGAGAAGGATAGTTGCGCCATATATTGCCATGGGGGCCTCCATCGTCATCAGTGGGAGGCTCAACCACGGGTGAGGTGAGGTGAAGGTGAAAGCCTTGGCAAAAAGTGGACAAAAGAGAAACGAGCCCTCCTGCGAGTTGAGGAAGATCGGGAAACCTAGGTACTGAGGCCCAAGACCAAGCCGCGGCCGGACCGAAAGAGCCGCAGCCGTTCAAAGGGACGAGACAAGAAATGGAAGAAAAAGGACACCTACTCCTAGCACGAAGAGGTCGAAGTGGCCGGAAATCTCATAGAGGTGGTGAGCAACCAAAGAGCACTGTGGTTCTTGATCTGGTGCAACCTCTTGGTGCACGTAACTTTGTCCGAAGTATGTCCACTTTCTGTATTGGTTCTGTTCTGATTGCCCACGGGGACAGACGCAGAAGGAAGTTGGTCTTTAAGTCAAGACTTTTGCAAATGTCTTGAATCGTTGTCGCAACATCCTGTGGTTGTCCGTCACCAAAACCATGAGCGGTTCAAGTCGTACCGATGGCCACCTGCACTGCTCACGAGAGCCCGCTGGATGCTTTTTCTCGCCCGGGGCGTGCTCTGAGATCCAACCTCGCATCGCTGGAGCAAGACGAAGAGAAAGAGGTTCCAAGAAAGGTGAACCGACACTGAATTCCACTGGGCCTCTGCACTTGAGAGCCTTCTAAGCTATCAAGAACACCGCCAAGCCGAGTTTTTCTTTTCTTTACTGCTTTGTTGCTTCCATTTGTTTTCATTGTTTTCAGCGTTCAAATTTTGATGTGGCCGACATTACAAGACACACTTCGTGTTTTTTTTTGCCCGCGTTGTGCTGCTTTTTTCTGTCAATGAGAAGGTGACTGAGTCTGACCACGTCTTTCTTGGTTGGACTTCTTCTGACCTTCGCGTTGCCAGGCAACTGCATGTTGGCTGGGAACCTTTGGGCATCATGTGTGGGCTGGTCCTGGATCGGTTATGACTCCTTGGTTTTCGGCCACGTCCCTAAGTGGTACAGTGGCACTCCTTTCATTTCCCACTTGGGGAAACGAATGGCCTCGTCACTCGGTGAGTGGATCCATTGGGTGAAATGAATTGAGCCACCGCTCGGGCAAGGTTAAGAACTCCGGCCGACATTCTTGACAGGACATCCAAAGTTTCAAGCTGAAGTGTGGCGAAAAGGAAACCCAAAGCATCTAACAGCGTCCAGTTGAGAAGGAAGTTGCACACATCAAAGAAGCAATCAGCAGGCTCACTGGCCTATCGTGGGTTTGGCCCTGTGGTGGGTTTCAGCCTCTGGTGGGAAATGCCCTTTCACACAAAATGTCCTCTTTTTGCATGCCCCCGCAATTTTGCACCCTCTGGCAGGAAAAGGTTGCAAAAGTGCTGCGGTGGGAAAAAGTCTCTGGCGGTGGAACGCATGCATATAAGCTGGGAAACACTCAGTCTTGGTTGCCGAACATCTTTGCCGGAACATGAACTCAGCCAACAAGCGACCGTAGGCATCTTTGCTAACCCTTTAAACTTCTTCAGCCGACCGTGAAAAGACCCTCTGCCTTGGTGGTCACCCTCACCTCGACGCCGCTTAAGGTTTCTGCAGGGCCAGTACGCACTAGCTATGGTTGACACAACGGTGGACGAACTTGCTGTCTTTGCTGGCGGATCTCCTGCCAAGCTTTTTGTCCGAAACAGTGACAGAGACGACCGCAGCTTTGATTTGCGTTTTTTGCTTACGTTTCACCTTGTGTTGTATGTTCGTCGATGCTTTGCTTCTAGGAGCCGCGGCCTTGGAACTGGAACAGATTCTCTGCGATGGGTGGAAAGTGCCTTTGCTTGAGTCTGTGCCCTTGGGAATTTGGCGTGTCACTGGGGAGCGGGATGATTGGTGGTGTCCACGAGGCTTGGTGTTAGACTGCTGTGTCTAGTCATAGTCTGTGGCACACAGCGTTCACAAGGCTGGGGGCACAGCCCCTGCCTGCCTGCCTGCCCGCCCGTATTCAAGGTCACACTCTCACTCTCCCTCTCACTCATGCGCCATCATTCCTTTGCCTCCGCTTCTGTTTTCACACAAAAACTTCACATGTGGGGTTGTCCAGTCCCCCATGATTCTGGGCCGTCCAATCAGTGGGTTTCCGCGACCAAATGGTCTAAAGTGGAGATTGTTGGACTGTTGGATGGGTCAGAGGTTGTAGGAAAGTTGTCAAGACTTTGCCCTTTAAAGTCCCTGCTCGGGACCGAGTTGTAGGTTGATGCTGCACATGTTCACTTTGGATCGCGTGCCCTATCCAAAGCAGTGCGGTTTGGCAGAGCTCGCCAGATGCAAAAATATGACGCAGAAAATGTCGTGCGGCCCGTGACACTTTTCGAAGGAAAACAATTGCAATGTCAGGGGAAGTGACGGCTGTAACCAGCATCAGTTTTTCGATTTTTGTTTCCGGAAAACATCTCCATATCTTGGTCGGTTCACCACCATTCAGAAGAGGTGGTGATGGATTCAACTCCAAATGTTCGGATTTTCAATTTGCAGGCTGTCGTTTTGGAGGGTTTTTGGGGCATGACTGCTTGCGCCGCAGCATCAATAGCGCGTCTGGAGTTGCCGCAGCAACCACACGCAGTGAAGGAGCCATGTCTAGGCTTACATAAAATCTTTCACATTTGGTCTGGAAATCACAACAACTCTCTCTGCATCGAATCTATCCACGTGTACGGATCAAGTCAAAACTAGGCCTTTCGTGAGCAAATGGTCATATTTTGATTTTTTCAGTCCTGCGCACAGTTGGGACGTATACAGGCTTGACTTATGACCCCAATTGCAGATAGATATAACTTAGATAATTATAGAAAACGACAACACAGATTGTTGATAGCTTCATACAAAACCCCAGGGTAGGGGTATTTAGTCACATCCACCACTTTCGTCGTCGTGTGTCGCGCGGTTGGCGATCCAGCGTTCAGAAGTCCACCTCACGAGAATCTATTTGCGCAACACGTCGGGACACTGAAGCTTTGGGAAACGTTTCAACTGCAGCGAATTTCTTCCTACATTCAAACATTATAGGCCTTCATTGTAAGTTCGATATGAAAAAGAGCTTGGTCCGGTAGAAAGACCCTGGTTGCTTCCGACGGAAGGTTCGCCCCCCCCTCTACTCGACAGAGAAATCCTTTGTCCAAGCAACCTCACCATACTCCTCCAAAGCGCCCGAAGACACGAACAGTCTCACCTGGAAAAAACCGATCTGATGCCGGTGGAGCCCGGGAGAGCATAGAGTTGCTGCGGGGTGTTGGTGGCTCTGCTCGAAAACTGCCGTCCGGAGACCCAGCATGAGGAGGTGTAAGAGAAGAGCAAGAGCTTGGTACAGCAAGACATGGTTGTTATGTAATTATGGTGGACACTGGCAAAAAGAAGGAGCCTCCTGGAAACTGGTTGGTTTCCAGGAGCATAATGAGAGAAAATGAGCATAGTGAGCTGACAGCCGAAACAGGTTCTTCAACCCTTGGAAAGGGGATTGGGTGCCATCCTGCTGCTTCGTTCAAAAGACCCATTGTTCTCACTTGTAGTGACTCTGCGCACAACTACCTTGGAGTTTGTCCATGAAGGCCTTGTTGTTGAACGGTTGGCTTGGTGCAGAGCAACTTTGCCATGCAAGGCAGAAGCGCTGGGTGCAGTTCGGAAAGCATGGCTGCAACTTGGTCACAGGTAAAGATTCAGCAGAGAGTCATATGGCAAGAAGCAAGTCACCCCCACCCTCGACAGCCAATCTTGTGCCAAGGACTTCAAAAAAACCTGGTCCCTTTCCTCATTGAGTCGTGCTTTAGTACGATCAACTCCAATCAACTCCAGTAAATTGAGGTCACAACTGACCTGTGGGGCAACTTCCCGCTTCCTTCCCGCTTCGTTGGGTCGGATTTCATCCACCGAAGACGTTCCGTTCGAACCCCTTCCGTTCCATTCCGAAGCGATCGCAGCGCGAACGCGCCCAGGCGTTGTGGCAGGTGAAGGCGATTTTTCAGTCGAAGCTGGGAGATGGAAGTGGCGCCTCGCTGGACCGGCAAAGCTGCTCGGAGGGAGTTGGGACGCTTCGAAAAAGGAGGAGGATTTGGAACTGGAAGGGGGGGAAGTGGACGCTGAGCATCGCTGTTGGAAATAAAACAGAGAGGGAGGAAGAGAAGAGAGATCTCCCCACGCCAGATGATCTTGCGTTTTGATGCGTGTGTTTGGCGGTGCAGTCTCAAGTTTCATGTTGACATTCCAAGATTCAGCTGTCCAAGCTGTTCAAGCCCTGTGGCGTCCCAAGGCTACATTGAAATTCTTCAGGATATTGGTGTCACATTGCAGGAGGCCAAATGTCTTCTGCAGGAGAGAGTTGTTGATGTTGTTTGTGCGAAGAATTGCTTCAGCAGTTTCACATGGAAGCAGGACAAAACCCTGCGACTTCTTCTTAACTTGTTTTTTGAGTAACAGTAAAAGGGTTTCTTTTCATGATCTGAAATTCAACCCCAGCCATGCAATCCATGTCAGGGTGAGTCGGAGTTCTGAAGACTTTTGCCGTTTTTCTTCGTTTCGTCGCCAAAGAAAGAAGACGCAGTGGACCACCTGCGCAGCGCAGAAACTGCTTGAGTGTACCCCCCTTGACACGGTGGAAACCACGCGCGCAGGAGTACCCTGAGGACTCATGGATTCGCAGCTTGGCAGAGATTGACAGGAGTAGTCTGAAAGGAAAAAGATCCTTTTGGAGGGTCTGATGATGATTTTTCACGTCGTTGCGCCATCGGTCGTTTTTTTTGTGTAACTGAGCAACTTTTGAGGTGTGAAAGACTTCTTGGATATCTTCTTCACCTCTCCAGAGGTGCACTTCTTGGGAGCTTCATGTCGTGCAACAGAAAAGCATCCAGCACCGGGCCAGCATCGGTTTTTGCAACTTCTGAGTCGGATATAAAGAGCTTAAGCAAATGACGTGGCCTTGATAAGAGAGGATGCCAGATAGCTGAATCTTAGGGTTCTTACTTCTCTTGGACCAGGCCCTGCTCGCAACTTTTCATCTTAAAAACCATCAAGACAGGTCCTGATCGCAACTCTCCCGCTTGGAATCCTGGAATTATGCTTTGATCGCAACAATTGTTGCATCCAGGAACCGTTCCTAAATCCCATGTCACGTTTTGCTTGCCTAGTGCTACTTGCATTGGACTTGGCTGAGATTGACAGAGCTCGTTGTTTGGACCGCGGCCTGTTTAACGCGGCCGATGTGCCGTGTTTTGCGGACTTTCGAACTCAGTGGCCGCAAGGCCGCAAGGCTGTCTTTTGAGTACGCTGAAGTACAAAGCCGTCTTGTTGTAGCGATTTTACGAGAGTATCTGATCTCACTGTGCCCTACCTGCCTTACCCCAGGCCAGTCTCAAAGACTACTTTGAGAAAGGCTACAAGAAAGGCCTTGTTTTCGATCATGAAGACTATCAGCATGACGCGGATGACTGGTGCTGGGTCCACACCAGACTGGGTGTGAAGGCGCCTTGGAAAAGGAATGTGAACCTGACCTGTTGCGTGGCATTTGATCCTTTTTGAGACACTTTTTGCACTAGCTGAGCTGGACAACTGTGGAAGTGTCTCTCAGGTTTGGCAGGACATCCTCGACCTGACTCGAGCCAGTGATGCCAGTGGTGTGCAATGCGTTTTTCACTACACCACTGAGCTTGGCTTTAGAAACATCACAGATCCCAGAAAGACACTGGTGGAAGTCTTCGTGATGCCCTCAGGATCTTACGAAATCTATGTATGTTTTGCATTCAACGCATCCTGTTGGTCAGCTGCCTGCGTTTGCCTATCCACAGGCTTCTCTGATAACGAAGGGTGAGAAGGCCAACGCCTGGTGGGGGCAAGGCAAGACTGTCTACTTGCACTGATTGTGCTTTGAACCAAGCATGCACCAGAAAATGATTGCAGGGTGTCTCATAGTTCGTGGAAAGGCTGGTACACTCATTCAGTCACATCAACACTATTGTGCGATAGAAATGCACTGGCCAGGAGTTTATTCCGTGCAGAAGCCCCCAGACGAGTGGCCGGATATCGAAGCACTCATCGACAATAACTATCGTAATATGCTAAAGAGGGACATCGACTTGAAGGGTCGCGAGGCAGCTGTGGAGGAGAGCTTTTGTGTTCCTCGGTGATGTTCTTTTGCCAGTCGAATTTAACCAGCAGACTCACCTGATAGTAGAGGAAGACTTTGATAGACTTTGTGGGATACATGTGATACATGTGCCTTTACATTTCCTGACGGAGGAGTACAGGTCGAGGGTTGGCTTTTGCATTCCTATTCTGGTCAATGCATCCATTGCCTATGATGTGTCCAAGAGACAAACGCCTGAAATGGCGGAGCAGGTGAGGTTGTGGATGGTGAGGTGGTTTTGATTTCCTTCGAGTTTATGGAAAGGGTTGTTGCATGCTGTTTCAGATTTGTTTTGAAAGGATATGCTGTGTTTTTTCCTTTATTTTTTTCGGTGCGAACGGTGCATCCTGTGCGTCTGGTGCACAGGGGAAGCCCGTTGGTGTGCCGGATCCCTAGTTGCCATCGATCCAGTACGATGTGTGACGACCCGACGCGACTGACTCGACGCAATGGGACCACCTTGAAATTGCCTTGGAATGGTACAATTGGACCACCTTGGAACTGTACCTTGGTTTGGACCACCTCGACTGACTCGACACGCCTTGTTCCTAAGTCTAAGCTTTGGCCAAGGAACTTGGCTGGAAAGCTGCTCAACGAAGATGGTATGCCGCCTCGACAATGTATCGTCGTCCGAGCGGAAACGGTGGAGGAGAAGGTTGGCAATGCCAGGGCAGTGCTGATGGATGCGACGCTTGTTTGCGATGAGGACTCCCGTCATGAACGGTTATATAATGCACGCCGCGCTCCAGGGATCACAATGCTTCAAGGCACTCCTTATCGCCGACTCTATGCGGTCCAAGCGCGGCCCTCATGGCGGCGCTGTGGTCACCATGCGAAGCATGTGAGACGCAGTCGGCATCAAAATGGACGGGCCACATCACAGGCCCTCCTCACCGGCCTGGAGCTAGTCCACTCACGGACCCTGGACACCACTCGATCCAATGTCTCAGGGGAAATCGCCAAAAACATACCACCAGAAGGAGTCAAGATGCCAAGCGAAGAGCAATCTTTCCCCTCAAACAAAAGATCTTGAAACTCGAAGTGGCGACAAAACAGCTTCAAGGCATTCCTGACTAGCCGAATGACGCTAGTCATCAAAGGACGTGTAAAGTGGTGACCCATTGGGACCAACTCAAAATTCTTACTGGAGGCCATAAATTGCGGGAGAGGAAGGCCCAACTCCCTAACCAACAAAAACACCACCTCGAACCAGCTAGCGGCATATAAGCCAAGATCACCCCCACCACAAACAAAAAACCGATTTATGATCTCCTGCAAGAAAACCTTACCCCCAGGTAAACGAATCTCAGGTAAGGTAGCCAATCTATCTGTACAAGAAATCAGTGAAACTTGCCTTTCCGGAAGATGGACAGGAAAGCCCGCATTAGGCTCAGGCCGCTCAGAATCCGTCACAGTGCCACCCGCATGAACAGCGCGGAAAAAGCGAAGACCTTTGCGGAGCGATCCATCATCTCGTTATGACGGTTGATGGCAGCAGCTCGAAGGTGACTAAGACGACCAGGCAAAGCTCTATTCATAAGGCCAGCCTGCAAATCAACTGCACGGTTCCATTGCCAAGCCCAATCATGAAAGCAGTCTTCGCAGCTCAAATGATGCAGGTGAGAAGGCCACCAGCGTATAGTGGGCAAACACTCCTGAAGGTCGGAAAGCAGCTCACAAATAGGCGTCCAGAGATCACGATTGCTCCAGTGGCTCGGAACAATGAAGTGGTCCATCAAATAAAGGACACCATCCACTGTGTGCTTCGAATCCACCCACAAGAAAGCAGGCACACGCGTTCGGCTAATCCAGCGAAGAGCAGAGAGCACTGCCGTAGCTTCAGCTCGTGGAATGCTCTGCGTGATGCCAGGCAGCCAACCTGAGCTCAGCACCATACCCGAAGAGGCGCTTGTCACACTCCATGAACAAATATTGAAGGCGCTGACCGGCCCGGAATGGCAAGAGCCATCAGTGAAAAGGTGGTGAGGCGACAAAGGCTCCACATACTCAAATACACTGGTGTCATCAGGAATGGTCTGCAGGGCAAGCCACCAAGCGGAGAGCCATGGATTTCGCTGGCACAAAAGATGGTGTTTAAAAGCTCTGGGCCAGTTTGACCAATCTGCAGGCCACAAGGGGACAGCCGCACGACAAGGTTCCTTCCTAGGACAAGTGTACCAATGCAGAACCGAATCCGCTGTCTGACACTCAGGACAAAGGCCCTTAGTGACATCGAACTTGGACTTCATGTCATCCGCAATGAAGGCGCCGGAATGCAAAGAGTTCAACAATCCACACGTGAAGCAGAGTCCAGAGGTTTGCCAAGCTCATACATCAAGAAGGGATCCAAGCTAGCAAGGTCAGACATAGACTGCCTGCGTTGGAGACCTGGAACCAAGTGCTGCAACCAAGCATCACGAAGAAGAGCCTGGACCATAAGCCAATCCGCTTCAAGAACGTTGAAGGCTAGACAAATGTAGTGGTCAATGTCGGAGGATCCAAAGACCATCCAAGAAGTTCACAAAGGGCATGAATCTTCGAAAAAGGTCCAGGGCAAAGTTGACCACAAAATCGCGCCTCAAAGTGACACCAAGCAGGCAAAAGATTAGTATCTTTGTAGGCCAATCGACGAAGCGTCTGAAATGCACGAGTCAGTTGATAGAGCCCAGGGTCAGCCAAAGGTTGCAAAGAAAGGGTGAGCCTCAGCACCGGGCTAACACCAGCCGTCTTGAGTCGTAATCCTCGGCAGGCCAAAGATCGAAGATGCCCCAGGTGAGTATCAGCAAATAAGCAAGCTTCAGCTCCATGCAAGGCCTGAGGCCAGAACGAAAGCGGCAACACAGCCAGTTTCTGTGAGGTAGGAGCCCTTGAAGCGGTAAACTTTTGCCACTTGCTTTCCAGAGACTCAAAGCGGAGCCGAAGATGATGGTTCCTAAGCATCCGACAGAAAGTCATGCTGCCCCCAACATCCCGAGCAGCATAGTTGCACGCCAACCCAAGTGAGCGCAGAGCATGACGATCCTTCGTGGTCAATGCCCAAGTGAAGGTCTTGTTCCGATCTGCTTCCATGAGCCACATTTCCAAGAAGGCCTCGTTGGCAAAGAAGGCCCCAGCAACAGCCTCAACCGTGGCTCCCTGGGTTGAAAGAATCGCATGTAGATGTGCCATACATAGTTCAGCTGAACCGTGCCATAAACAGACATGGCGTCACCTTCCGGTAGACTCACCAATGAAGTAGTAGCCTCGCTGAGTGTGTCATGGACCAGAAAAGCCCGAGAGCAGCCAAGAAGAATGTGTGCTGCCTGGGGATACGATTGAAGGGCTTCACCAAGTCAGTACTCAGACCAACAAGTGGTCGTTGGTCAAGAACAGCAAGTTCAATGTAACTCTGAAGGGTCCACCAGAGCTGGGTTGCCTCCTTTGAGGGCATGAACCCATACATCGAGTCCGGTGCATGGGAAGTAAGGAGCTTCAGCAACTGCCTGGATCGAATCGAGCCCCACGTACGGTAGACCAAGCTGAAGATGACAATGGGGCGAAATCCATTGGGATCATGTGCCTCCGCTTCCTTAGCCAAACATAGGACAACTCCATGGACCATCTGTTCCGGCCATCCCAATTGCTGGTCTTCAAGGCGATTGAGCCAATCAACAATGCTAGCGTGCCACCGGTCTGGTAGACGAAGAAGGTCAATATGACCAATGCCATCAACCCCTTTGGCAGCATGAGCTTTATATCGACGGAGCATAGATTTCCATTGAGCCACCGAAATGGGGGGCAAAGCCAACCGCAATCGCGGGACAAAAGCTTGGACAAATCCCGTGACCCGACTCCAACATTCCTCCGGGATGTCAGAGAAAGCACACCATCGAGATTTCCAGAATTTGAGCAAGGCCGCATGGGTGTCATCAGCTGAGTGCAAATATCTGCGCTGGGTCAAGATCGCTCCAACCTGCCTCACAGCGGGTGGCTCAATTTCACAGACATTAGCATCAATGGCCGAGACGTGGACAGCCACACCGTCGATAGACCAAGTGGAAGAACCTGGCTCAACGGGATGTTCCAGCATCACTTGTTTCGACTGAGGATCGAGCTCCATGATGTCATAATCAACGTCTTCCCAGAAAATTGAAATACGCTCAGGCGCCGCAGCTTTGAGGTCCTTGTGCATGGCTTGTAAAGTGCGGTCATACCTGAGGTCAAACAACTTCCTTTTCTGAAGCAAATGCCATTGCTCAAAAGAACGGAAGGCCGTCAAAAAGACCTGGTAGATGTCCTCGGCAATCAAAACACCCGGCGGTGCAACCGGCAAAGAGGCAGGAGCACGGTCCGGATGGTGAAGCAAGTGAGCCTCCCACCAACGACAAAAGCCATGTCGAAAACCACGTGCTTTCCGGATGGCCATCCAGAGTTCAAGCCTTGCCGTGAGTGCGGCAGGATCTTGTCGATCAGCTCTGGCAGAATGAAGGTAGCTCTGAATGCGCCGCAACTGCCGCAACTGTTGAAACCAGTGCCGCACCGCAGCTCCAACCTGATCAGATCTCAGTTGCACCTCCATCTGACGACTAGGTGCACAGGCAGCTGCCGTAGGAGGACGTAGATGTGGTGCAGTCTGCTGGCGTCGTCCTCTCTGATGTCCAATGAGATGCCCATCAAGGCTGGCTTCCAGGGCAGCACCAAATCCAGCATAGTCAGCAGTAGGATCAGTTGTTGCGAAAAGACTAGAACAATCGCCGGCTTGCCAAGATTCATCTACCGACTCCCAAGGAATCGCGGAAGGACGGTGCCAGAATCGACACTGCGTAGCCATAGTAGGAACCTCCAAGTCAAGGTGAAGCGAGGCACGGTCCGGAAAGACATCACGCAATCCGACATCCCGCACCAACTCAATGAGCTCCGGACTCATCCAGATGTGATCACTAACAGCCGTGTGTTTGGAGGTAGGTTGGATGCTCCAGCCCCCAAACTTCATGAGCGAACTGTTGAAGGTTGCGCCACCCCAAGCGCCGCCAAACATCGTAGGCATCCTGGTCCGTGCAATCTGAGTTCAGATCACCCAGGATCACCCGAGGACCAGAGCATCCAAACACGATCTCGCTACTGAGCACATTCAACAATCGGCCATTGAGGGATTTCGCATTCGGCCAAGTCGGCCCCCGGGGGTAACAGTAGACATTGCCAACAGTAACCACGAGGTTGGGCAGAACATGACGAGTGGCTTGAAGCCGGCCACAATTGAACTCCTCACTGCGGACTGGCGCTGGTGCCCCATGCAAAATTACCGGAGATCGGCCAATAATGCGGGCAAGTCTCTTGAAATTTCTGGTGCATACAGGCTGTGTGAAGGCCGAAGGCTGTGTTTCACTGAAGGCCCAAATACCCCATCCGAGGTCCAGTGCAAAGGATTCCTTCCGAAGAAGCCCGGCTGGGTTCGAAGTGCCGATGCGTAGTAACTGAGTGTCTCCAGGCCCAGGATGGCTAGCCTCCCCAAAGGGACCAGCGAAGACGTACCTCGGGAACGGATATTCAATATCAGGCAAGGAGTCCACAACAGGGACCGTCGCCATGTGACCGACTAGGCCAAACTCTCCCGACTGAAAATCACAGTAGTCTTCAGATGAAAACCCCGTGCTGACATAGAGCGGCTCAGCAAGGAGAGGATGGCCCAGCGCCAATGGCCCACGGCA